GCGAATGCACCCATCTCCCTTGAACTTGAAGAATCTGCAGCTGGACACTCTGTCTCGCTCTTCAATGACGTTCCCCTGGCAGGCGCCACCACCGCGCAGCTGTCCACATCTACCACGACAGCTGCGCGAACCGCACGGCTTGACTCTGGAGGACTGTTGTTGTGCGAGAGAGACAGAGCGAGGCGCGGGTGGAGTCTCCTGCCGCCCCCACCCTCCTCAGCACGCAGCTGCCGCAGCTGCAGAGCTGCTGTTTTCGGCCCCGCAGCTGAATAATAAGAGGAAAAGGTGGCCGACTGGCCGGGGCCGGGAGGCGCCCAGGAAGTTGCATAGCGCAGCGGCACGGCGCGGCCGCGCGAAGTACAAAGGCCTGACAGGGGCTTACCACACAAAACACGGAAGATAGGCGGGCGGGGGCAGGTAGGTGGGGGGAGGCTGATTGTGAGATTCAAATACTAATTAAAGCTTGTAGAGCTCGCAAAAACGAGCAAGTGTTTCCCGTTCCTTCCAAAATGAGTGCGTTTCGGCGTGGGTAGGTTCGTGGTTGTGAGTTCGGCTTTGACTCACCCTCGTAGCCCGGAATGACCGGGTGCTGGTACAGAGGGTCGCCATAGCGGAAGCGGCTCTGCACGATGTCCACGTCGTTCTCGCTCGGGCGCGCCACCTGCAGAGGACATTTACATTACACACATGTTTGTTGTGTTTTGCTGCAAGTAGGTCATAAATACTTGGCGTGGAGGTACATTTGTTTTCAGTTTTGTTTTAAATGTTCGGCAGCAGGAGCGTTTACAGCTGAACATGAGGATGGTTTCTCCTCGGCGATGAGAAATTATTACGATCGGAAATTTTGCATCGTCTTCCTACTAGGACGCAACGTTTTCCTCCGAAATTTCCGAGTTGCTGTTCACGTACTCATTTTTGCTGAGAATTCCCGGTGGGATGGGCGATAATACACGTTATCGGCTGCTCTTTTCCCCGGCTCCGCCCGCTCCGCCCGCTCCGCCCTCTCCGCCCCTCCGGCCGGGCTCCGGCTGACGCAATGTCTCCGCCTGCCATAATCTGGATGCTCTCTGGAGGCGCCGCCCGCCTGGCCCCGCCCCACCCGAGGTATGCTAATGGCGCCACGAGAAGAAAGCTTGAAGCAGGAGAAGGCGCCCGGCCCCGCCCGCACCCGGGACCACAGCGCACCGCCACCCAGTGAGGGCGAAAACGAAGGGTCAGGCAACCGGGTCAGATCAGGTCAGATCGGTAGATTGGCTGTAGGTCGCGTCGGGATCGGATCGGCTTAAGGTCGGTCAGGTAACCATTTTGGATCTGCTCCAGGTCGGGTAAGGTGTAGCCGGGTCGGATCTGCTCCAGGTCGGGTCAGGTGTCACCCCGTCGGATCTGCTCGAGGTCGGGTTAGGGGTCACGGGATCTGCTCCAGGTCGGGACAGATGTAACCGGGTCGGATTGGACCCATTTCGGGTCAAGTGTAACCGGGTCGGCTCGGCTCCGGGTCAGGTCGGATCGGGTGTGACCTGTGACCCGGCCAGGTCAGGCTTGGATCGGGTGGACCCGTGACCTGGTCAGATCGGGGTCGGGTCGCAGGGGAACCGCGGACCCCTGGACCTCCCGGCGGCGGCCGCGTGTAAAGCGGAGGCTCACGAAACGGTCGTTGGGGTCGAAAGGAGGCGATCGCACCACTCGAGATCTGATCTACAGCGGCGTGCTCCGCCCGGGCTGCGCCGGCGCTAAGGGGCTGCGCTCCCTGCATGCGGAGGCTGGGAGGAGAATAAAGGTCAGCCTGCAGGAGGAAGCGTGCAGGAAGCGGACTGGGTGTCCCATTGAGGGAGAAAACCGTCACGAGTGTGGTGGTGGGTGCACAAACGACACGAAACGCATGCGCGCGGTCTGTTGTCGACAAAACATTTTTGGAGTACACTGTTAGATAACTGCAGAGATGTTCCCGCACCAACTTTTCGCGCCTCGTACAGTACAGGTTCTCTGTAAAGTGGGTGACTTAGGTCAAGTCGCTAAGGTTACTGTTTGGCCAGTGTGCAACGCTGCAAAATACGATGTGATTTCAACGAGGGGTCCCCCACTTCCAAAATAGGTGTACAACGAGTTGGCGAGTTGGCGAGTTGCCGCGAGTAGGGCGCGAGTTGGGATCAATTTTTAGAGAGTTTTGCGCGAGTTTGGCGCGAGTTTTCGCGATTTTCACGCAAGTTTTCGCGAGTTGTCGCGAGTTGAACGCGAGTTAGGCGCGAGTTGGGCGCGGCTAAGTGTACAACGAGTTGACGAGTGGGGGACCCCTCGGATTTCAACGGGTTCGCGCAGCGAGGGCCCCATCGCTCGCCGGGCGATAACCCAGTCGAGGAAAAGTGGTCAGTTTGAGGAAAGGGCCGTTATCACCCTTTGGTCCATATCAGCATGCTGGGCCCAGTAGTCGCCCCACGGGCTGCCACAAAAGGCCGGCAGCGCACCCCGGATCCGACATTATTCGAGTGAAGGAGCACGATGCTGCTGACCGTATTCGCCCTGATCTCGGCCGTGGCTGTGAGCCGCGGGTCCGCCACCGAGTCGCCCTGCACAGCCCACATCAGCAGCGAAGACGCGGCGCTGTGGGACGTGTGTATGAACGCCGGAGACAACGTGAGTGTCCCGCAACACCCTGCACCCTGACAGAGTACCCCGTTTTACCTAGAGGTATACAAGGTCGGACTTTACCGCCACTAGTTTGAATCGATATTCCCGCTGTGCTGAGTGTTGTGTCGGCGCTCGTCTTTCCTTACCGCTCGACCTAAGCGATATGGAATATGGATTCAAATACGTGGCGGGAAAATGACATTTGAACGGGACAGCGAGGCGCGTAGCCGAGGTCAGGAACTCCCCCAAATTTGCCCCGTAATTATTCTCCTGTAAATAGGTGAAAAATTGCGACGTGTGCCTTTCCCCCTTAATGAAATTGCGACTACCCCCTGACTTGTCCCGCTGTGTTGCAGTGCTGGGGTAACCATTCGCTCCCGTGCTGGAAGCAATCGTGCGACTGCATGGACCGCGTCACGCAGGACAAGTACGACCAGTACGTGAAGAGTGGACAGCCGTGCCTCGATGTAGCGTCCAGGTGTGCGAGCGGTGCCAGCTACGAGTGCCAGCGCAGGTGCTGGAGGGACTGGAACAAGTGCGAGTGCGTGAACACGCACCGTCGGCCCGGCGCTGCTGCGGGCTTCAACTTCAGTGAGGGCGGTGCAACAGGTAGCAGCCCCAACACAAGCGGCACCACCGCGTCCACGAGCAGCGCCACCGGGGCCACCGCAACGACGGCAAGCACCGCCAGGGACTGTCGGCTCAGTGCGATGTGGGACGGCGCGTTCGACTTGAAGCTCGTGATGACGATCGTGTCCGTGTCAGTGTGTGTGGCAGCCTTGCTGTGCGCGATGCAGTACGCGTTGCAAGCCGTGAGGCGGTTCGTGCTCCGGTCGTGGCTGCGGCCCCAGGCCCAGGGTCCAGTCTCAGGATACCATAGAATGGCACCCACTTTTGAACCCACCCTCTGCGGACTCAAATCACAACCATCCGCACCGGGGATTGAAATCTCGGTATGATTCTAGGAGCTTTATAGTCGAGCATTACAAAAGGTTCGCTAGTGTTTATGTTCCAAAGGATAT